CAGGGAGGTTGAAAATTTGCTCAGCTGCTTCACTGCAAAAATGCTGGGCTGCAGTTCAGAAAAGCTTCAGGCTGCAGTATGAACGCATTAGTTGTGCAAAGGCGTTAGGGTTTTTTTTATATTTCATTATCAGGGTGATCATGCCGCTAGCCTTTTGCTCTGACACAACATCAGTTGTCATCCTTGTGGATGGCACTGATATAAAACAGTCCTGACAACAAAATCGAGGTGGAAAAGTAAAGTCAGTATTGATTTCTGGTTTTGTTTTAGGGTTACTTTAGTAGTTATGAGCCCTAGAGTGTTTCTGCTAATGACTGGATAAAGCACAGGTGACAGTGGTGTGTCATGACCTGGGTCTCATCTGCCTTCTGGAGGGAGGGGGCACTGCTGAAACTTTTTGTGAGTGTATCCTGATCTGCCTCTGATCTCTGAATCTGTCTCTGGGGTGGTGTTTGTCAGCGAACAACAACTTCTGGTTATGGATGTAAAGAAGGAACATTTTTATCAGTGCCAATCTCCTAAGCCACACAATAGTTTTTGAAGATGCGTTTTTTAAAAGTATTCTACATGAGCTGCAGAATGTGCATGTGTTCTAATTTTTTAATATCTTACTGAGGTAAGAAGAAGTGTAAAGACTGGGGTTCTGGAAGACAGAGTGGGGATGTTGGGGAAATAGAGGAGAATCAAGCCCTTATAGAAATACAACAAGTCTTTGGTTGTGGGCACAAACCACATGATTCCTTGAAAGGTCATCCTTTTCATTAGTTAATCCAGATGAAAAAACCCCATTCCAACTATCCATCTTTTAAAAGCTGATAAAATGATAGGATTCTATGCTGGCCAGTTTGTTACATTGTGCTGATTTAACCACTGTCTTCTGCAGTTTTATGCCAGTGTTATTTCCCATTAATCTTGAAGGGTGAGAACTCCATTACTGGATGTTGCTGTGCTGCATTTATTTGGACTGTAAATGCTCTCCTGAAAGTTGGGCTTTGGTTATCCTGGAGGCTGAATGCTTTTATAGAAGAGCACTGAGATCTGAAAAGGTCCACTGTGCCCTATAGACTGTAGAGCAGTTACTTTTGAAATTTTCCCTTTTAATTGATTATCCATTTTACTTCCAGGAAATAAGATACAGATATTAAATAAGTTTGCCATTCTACAGCACTACCGATGTGGGCTTCTTCATCGTGGGCTAGGACTTTCTTCTAAATTATATGGTCTGAAAGATTTTTACATGGTAATATAATAAAAAAAAATCATATTGTTTGCTATTGGCTGCTGTTATTACTGTCTAACAGTGTGTTCTGTAAGACAGAGAAAACAGTAATTAAAATGAAGAGGGCTTGCAGAGACACAGTGTTTGAACCAAAGTATCTTTCTACCAGTAATTTATTAATCTGACACCTTATGGAGTGTTTTTTCTACCAAAAAAACTCAAACCAACCAACCAAACCACCAGCCCCCCCAAACTGTGTCCCAAATCAGTTAGAAGTTTTATAAAACTATGAAAAAAAATTAGCAAAGAAGCAGCAAGTAGGGAGAAATAGCTTAGAAATATACAATCAACAATTCATAATTAGGTGCTCACAAAACAAATTAATGTAGTTGAGAAATAAGGCATTAGCGCTGCATTGACTTTAAGTGTATGTCTTGCAACAGCAGTGCTAGTGAATGGAAATAGTAAAGTCACTGAGGTTCTGCAGAGTCTGATTATTAACCTGTTTTTTAATATTTTTATCAAAGATATGTAAAACATTTAAAGCCGTTACTGATAAGTTAGAGGTAACAAACAGCTGGAGAAATAGATAAAATAGACACTCAGTCGCTGATAAAGAGAAGATAGGTTCATTAACTGAGCTGGGTTCAGGCACACAGTATATTTTTCAGCATGTCCAAGTAGAATTTTCTGTCTTGGTCTTGAAATAATAAATGCAAACTGTATTTCCATCTTTATTCCAAGAAGCAGTTATCCTTTAATGACAAAACCCTCTTTCCCTAGAACAGGGAATCACAGTCATCAGTTGAAACTGGACTCGTGTTGTTATGCTTTGGCCAAAAGGCCTCATACATCCAAGAGTTGCAGTATCGAGGTTATATTATCTCCATATTTGGCGTGTTCTGACAAAGGCTGGAATGCTGGTTCCAGATGGAGGTACTTCAAGAAGGACCTTGAAAACTGGAGATGATTCAGGGTAGGGTTGTACGAATGATGAAGGAATTGGAAGTGTGCTATATGGTGAAAGATTTAGACTCAGTCTGCTTAGTTTAGCAAAAGTGTGGTTAAGAGATCATTTGATCACGATCTTAACGTATTCATGTGGGGAACAGAAATGTGATAATAGAGAGCTTCTCCAGCAAGCGAACAGAAGTAAAATAAGAACCAACAGCTTGAAGTTGAAGTCAGCCAAATTAGTTTGGAAATAAGGTGCAAAATTTTAACAGAGAAGGCAGTTAAACACTGGAACAACTTACCAATAGCTGCAATCCATTTGCAAACACTGGAGATGCCGTAAGATTGCATGTCCTTCTGAAAGACTCACTGTAGCTTAGGAACAAGTGCTTATGTGAAATAGAAATTGATGCAGGGGAGCTTGTAATATTCAGGAATCACAACACTCACATCATTCCTCAAAGTCCAGGACTCTATTTGCAGTGTATTGCAGTGGTTAATTTCTGCTGATCTTTGATTCTGGTTTAGCCATTAGGAGAGTTTTTAAGGTATTTCTACATGGCACAATGTGGTGCAGGTATCCATGTTGACCCTGAACAAGCTAGGATAGGTACTAAAAGCAGCAAAGCTATGCTAGCATGATTTCCCACCAGGAGTGATATATAGTGCTTTTTAGCAGGGCTGAGATGCTTGCATGCAATGATGGGTGACCACAGCTGCTTGCTTGCTCTTGACAAGCTCCTACAGGCAAGGAGTCCTTGATGCCCTTGTGAAACTTATGTAAAAACAAGGATTTCTCATATAGGAGAAATGGGTTTCCTTTTTTTTTTTTTTTTTTTTTTTTTTTTTTTTTCTTTTTGTTTATTGTTTACATGCATTCAATTTGAGAACAGATAAATTCATGCAAGAAAAGTTATCGGTTACTTAGAGCAAAAAACCTGTTGTGTGAAAATAGTTGGAGCCTGAGAAACAGTGAAGGAACACATTAAAGGCCCTATTCTTACTCTTTTCTAAACATCGAATTATATCTATTATGGAGACAGGATACTGCACTGCTGGATTACTGGTCTGTTCCCATGTGAATTTTCTTATATGCATTCTAACAGTGTCTGTTTCATACTATTAAATTCCGAGAAATCAAATCTGTAACTGTAATAATAGCTTGTAATGTTTCAAAGTGTGAACCTCTAAAAAATATGTGCAAACGAATCTGTTTAAAATAAAAGCAGATTCTCAAAAAACCCTTTAAAATTTATTAATTGTACCAGTTTTACTATAACAGTTTAATACTGATTGCATCAGTTTTATCTTACCAATTTAAAACTAGAGTGTACATTTTGTTCATTGAGCTGTCATTCCAATGTATTGGACAGATTTATCGTGCAGTTAATGCCTCTGTTCTTGAGATAAGAGTTTCCAGTGCTGGCAAAAGCAATTCAAGGAATCAGCCTATGTAACTGTGGATTACTTTCCAACTGTTGAAATGCCTCTTCCTGTCTTGTTTAGCTCTGAATGATATCAAACCACTTCATAGCACAGTATATGGGCCATCTTGTTTATAGGCCTGTGACTTGCCAGTACATCTGTGGATGAACTACTTAGAGCCATTGATAGTCATTGCTAGAAAAGCAAAAGAATTAGAAAACTACTTGATTCAGAAGGAAAACTGTATAATTAAGGCATTGCCTTTATGTACTGTATTATGTAGACAACATGGAGCTGCCCAGCTGGAGAAGGTACTGGTGTGGACATTAAATTGAAGGTCACAGCATTAAGAAGGTCTGACCTGATAGCTAGCACTGTCTTGGGCTTTTCCACTTGATGACTAATGGTACACAAGAAGTACACCGTGTACTTATCTTAAAAATCAGACTGTAACTGTTCTTGAAAGCTTAATGTGCAGATTATTCTCATTTTCTTTTTCTGATGTGCATCTGTAGAAGTTAATGAGACTCCTGTATGCACCTTATGAAGTTATAAAATGTATATTATGAAAAGTGAGACTTTGCTTTATTTCTGACAAAAGGTATCTGATATTGTTTGATTCTAGGCCATTTAGCATGCAGTTGTAATAAACTTCAAGATATTTGGGTGTGGTGAAGCTTTATATTCCCATCAGATTAAAAATATTTTGCTTTCATTGTTATGTTTCACAATGAACCCAGTTTGGTTTTTGATTAAAAGATGCTTAGATCATCTTCTGTATATATTGTGCTATGTGATTATTTATAAGGTGGATCACATAAAACCTGCACAAACATTGAGATTTAAAATTAAAAAATATTTCTTGTAATTGCCACGTAAAACTTAAATAAGGAGCATTGACCCACACAATTGTTTTCTTGCTAAAATTTTTATTTAACGGTTTTACTTTCTGAATAGCTATGATTTGTGACTTTACCGAGGATATAGTTATGCAGAGATACATATCAGCGAAGGATTTCTTTACATGTATGTCTTTTAGTATTTTTAGGATCCAAATTTTTACTGACTTCTTGTTAAAATATTTATTATTCAGAAATGTTACAGTTTGCATTGATAGGGTAAATTCATATTCAGTGGCATCAATTTTTATTCTTGATATTTGCTTAAAATGGAATGGAAGGTGTAAACACTTTTATAGTAAATATAAAAACATCCTGTTGATTACTCAATTTAGACTTTTAGGATGATTTATCTCTCAGTGAAAATGCAAGAGGAGAAAAGTAACTACATTCTAACACTGCTGCTATTGTCACATATTTCAGATATTCCACACGTAGCACAAGTAAGAAATCACAGGACCTCTAATTTGTTTACATTTTTGGGGTTTGTTTTTCCTTTTCAGTCAGTGGTGAAGACTGGACGATTGCTGATTAGCCACGAGGCTCCCTTGACAGGAGGATTTGCATCTGAAATTAGTTCCACAGTTCAGGTAAACAGGTTATATGTATTTAAGTGTTATGCATGGCTGAATATGTTTGCAGAAAGAATATATATTACTTCATTAAAAGTTGAGTTTTTAATATTTTTTTATATTCTTTTTTACATTTTTATTAAATATCAGTTTTGTGGGTGCTTGTGTTACTTTGTCTGAACAGCTGACAAACCATGTACCTACCAGGCAGTACGTATAGCACCTGCTAAGCTAGAAAATTTAATTTCACTGAAAAGCAGGGAGGATGCGCCATCGGATGCAAAGGGAAAATCGTAATGTATACTCTATTTTTAAAATATTTTTTTGCCTTTCTCACATTTTTATCAAAAACTTCTTAAAACTACATTCTGGGAATGTTGAAATCAGACACAGAAGAGCACCCAGGTCCAGTACAGTATCATGTGGTGTTAGACATAATCTTCAGAGACCCCGTTGGGACAGCAGCCTGCAGAAGTGGTTCCTGTGTAGATGTGGTGGTACTCGTAGAGCTTGTCTGCATAGAAGAGCTTTGGAACGTTTAGATGTACATCAGTATCAGTTGTCTGGAGCATTAGGCTTTAACTTTTTTGGAAGTCCTTTTGAGCTTTCTGACATGTTTTATATCTATACTTGCATACAGATTTTCCCTTTAACTTGATTTCTTTCCTATGCACATCAGTGATACTGGTTTAGAGAAACATCTAAACTAATTGAGTCCATCACTGATTACCATTTTCTGATTAGTCTATTCTAAGAGCAGTTAAATTATCAGACTAGAGAGAAATGGGATTGTAAAATTCACAAAATATAAGCCACACAGGCAGTAGTTAAATCTTGGGAATTAGCCTTTTTGTAGGAAAGAAGAGTGTTAATTGTTTTGGGAATGTAATTTTGAATTACATAAGCATAAGGAGTCAGAAAACTATGTTTCTTGATCTTTGTGATACAATTTATTTGAAAGAGTAATTGTACTAATTTTAATTTTATTCTGTGAAGGTCATTCATTTTTTTTCTAACAAAATTGTCTCCACTGAGAACCAAATATTTATCATCCTTCTAAGTTATTAGTATTTGATCTCCAGTCTTCAACGCTTTTCACATCACAAGTTTCCCGAGTCCAATATGGTTTCTTGCTCTAAGTAACTGATAACTTTTCTTACATTAATTTATAAGTTTTCAAACTGAACCCCTGTAAACAATAAAGAAAAAGAAAAAAAAATGGAAAAAAATTCCACCTTCCCTCTTTCATAGATAGCCTCTTTGATTAACGTAGGTCTAGTAAAGTCATAAGGTACTGCCAACCATGAGTGTTGAAAGTGATTGTATTTCTTAAGTTGTGAAATAACAAAAAAAGCCTGTTCTTTACTGTCTTGTGTTATTATTAACACGGGAGGAGAAAATTATTCTAAACTGTGCAGTAATCTCACAATTTAATGCCATAACAAAGGAAAGCATGTGTGTTGGAGAGAAAAGGGAGTTGAAAAGAAAAAAAGCTTATCAGTAAATATTATTGGAAGATTGGTTGCATGGGGTGTTCAGTATATTGCTGCAACTACAAAATGAATGTGTAATCTCCTCAGACCTCCACTGAGAAAGGTACTTACCTGATTGATCCATTTGGGGGTTATTTTTCCTATCAGAGATGTATTTTGACAAATATCTCTTACTTAGAAAGCAAATTTTAAATGAGATAATAAAGGGCTATTTATTTCTGTCAATACTGAAAGGAAATATTTGTTTAAGGATAGTCGCTCATAATTTTAATATTTTTTTGTGAAACTAGGATTTTTATCTTGAGAAATATTAGTGAATTTGTCACACATGCTACCTCAGAATAAACTAGAATATCACTCTTTGTCATTGAATTGATATATGGCAAGTTTCTTTCATATAAATTGGTTGACTTGAATCAGTATTATAACCTTATTGTCATTACTCTTTATATCCATTCTTGAAGATTTTATCATCCGTACTATAATTTTGATACTAGTTATTTTTAAGAATATTTATACTGCAAAAGAGATTAGAATAATATTTACTAAACATTACATCTTTTTAAAGAACAGTACTGCTTTAGGCATAATGAAGAACTTGCTTTTTTTATTCAGTTAAAACACTTGATCTCTAAATGATCAAGTTAAGTCCATATGTCTAATATCACTGTGCTGTAAAAATAAAAACGAAAAGTGAAATTTTCTTTTGCTGGATGCACTGCATACTGAGAATGCCAAAAATTGGGGGTTGCAGTTGGCTTTAGTTTCTTTTACACATGGAAGTAATAAGACTTCAATAAAGCGTGTCCAGCTGGATTAGATGGTTAGTTTCCATATTGTTATTCCATCCTTGCTGTGAGGTCTCTCATCATAGAAATAAGGTGAATAAAAGTACATAGGTTATTTTAAAAGTTAACTGTCAAAAATGCTTCATGGTGTTGTGCACTTCAAGGAAAAGACTATGGACAGAAATGATGGCTTTTACTCATGAACTATAGGAGAAAACTATATTGAATAATTCCCTTTTTGCATAGGAGAGATTAAAAACAGTGTTTAGAGAGTATATTAAATAAGATTTGTTCTGTGTCAAATACAGAATATTTTAAAGGGGCACATTATTGCATTAAGTAGTCATTTGTTCTGATTTCTCAAACACATAAAACTAAGAACAGGATGAAGTGGTGTAGTTAAACCTCCACATGATATGATTTTTCCCTTTGTACTGATGTTTCATATGTGATCTCAATGGGTATTCTGAAATGAGCAACAGATGACAGCATAAATTCAATACAGGTAAGTTTAATACTTAATATTGATTATATTCTATGTAAAAGCTTGCAAATCTGTCATGTTCAGCAGAGAGGGCACTAAACTTTTGCTTAAGGCGTACAGTTGGAGCATAGTTTGAGAAGCCTTGGAGAAGGGCCCACTGAGATGTCACTTCCAAAATAATGAGGCATTGCATGTGGAAATCGTCAGTATGTTAATCACTTGTAATATAAAAGAATGTAAATCCAGTATTTGTGTCCCTGTTAAGAAAAAAAAAAAAAGAGAAACAAGATGTTTTCAAAGAGGGATGAGAGGGAGAAAAAAGGGAAACAGGAGTAGATTATATTAAATTGTGTGACAAAAGGTTCATCTCCGCACATGCAAAGGAGCCCAGAGGCGCGGCGGCAGGCAGGGGAACCCCAATAACCCACTCTGGGAAACGGAGCCCCCGACGCAGCTCCTGCCAGGGCTGTCGCAGCCCCATCGGCCAGGATGGGGACACCCAGCACCAGGAGTCAGGGACACTCTAGACCACTCTGCAGACTGGGAGGGGTTGCTGCCTGCCAGCATTTGGGAATTACTGGGGGATGCAGGGAGAGCATTTTGGAATCATACAAGACGTACGAGATGTTTAGAGGAGGAACCAAAGGTGGGGACCAACGTGGTTTGGGGAGGAATAGATACAGAAAAATTGAAAGATAAGGTGATAAAAAGGATTGGCTGTATATTAACACACTCGTTGGAATGACTGGCCATGCCCTGTGCCTGATCTCCAAACTCCATTTCTAATTATTTTCCTGGGTGAGACTCTTTCTATTCTGTGTACATGTGTGTGTATGGATGTCTAAGTGCCAGCCACTGAAGTCAGAGCATGGGCCATGGGGGCCGGTGTGCCCAGGGTGCCGGATTGGCACTGGGTGAGCGTGTCAGTGTCTGTCACTAGCAAATATCAAGCTGGACTAACTGGGGGTGGGTTAAGTGAGCCAGGTGTGTATATATGTGTGTGTGTTTGCCTCCACGAGTGAGTCAGCTGGAGAAGTAGGCTGTGGGAGGAATCAGGATGTCCAAGCCAGCTACTTGGAGAGATCATGGGGCCTGGGGTCAACCGAGAGACCCATAAATGTATGTCTGGCAGTGAGTGGGACAGTAAGGGAGATGGAAGATCCAGGTCAAGCTACTGGACTGACTGCAGTGTCAAAGCCCAGTTTCTGCAGGGATCTGCAATGTGCGTGTCTCTGTGTGGTGGTGTGTAAGTTGGGGTGGATGTCTGCCCCAGCAGCTGAAGTGGGACGGTGAATAGGCGCTTGTGTGTGCAGGTGCCAGCAACTGGAGAGACCAAGGATCTTGGTCTTAGGAATTTATCAGGGTAATGTAAGTGTATGTTGTATTATTCTACCTTTTGCTTTTGTTAATCTGGTAATCACTTTAATTTGTATTGTTTCACCATTTAACTGTCTACTGTTCCAGAGATACTTATAGGTGAGGTTGACCAATCTATATGTGTGTTGTTTCTCTAATTACAGCAATGTTTCTGAAATCAGGTTAAGTTCTAATCCATGGATGTCTTTCAGTAGTGCCCCTGTGGTAAAAAGCTACCTTACAAAGCAGCAGCTACAATCCTACTTTCTCCTTATCATTCTTGTCATAGCAACAAAATGAAGATGATGGTGTGTCACAATTTCAGAAAGAAGTGCAAGACTTAGTTAGGGGACTATGAAACAATAGGCTCCAGGAGGGAAAATTAACTCGGTTGCATGAAGAACTAATCCTTGATTTTAGAAGTCTTTCACGCTTGCAACAACAGTTGTATGGTGGGTTGACCCTGGCTGGATGCCAGGTGCCCACCAAAGCTGCTCTATCACTCCCCCTCCTCAGCTGGACAGGGAAGAGGAAATATAGCAAAAGGCTCATGGCCCAAGATAAGGACAGAGAGAGATCACTCAGCAATTACTGTCATGGGCAAACCAGACTTGATTTGGGGAAATTAATTTAATTTAATACCAATCAAATCAGAGTAGGATAATGGGAAATAAAACAAAATCTTAAAACACCTTCCCCCAACCCCTTCCTTCTTCCTGGGCTTAACTTCACTCCTGTATTCTCTTCCTCCTACCCCCCAGCAGCACAGGGCTCCAGGGAATGGGGGTTGCAGTCTGTTCATCACATGTTGTCTGTGCCGCTTCTTCCCCCTCACACTCTTCCCCTACTCTGGTGTGGGGTCTGTCCCACAGGAGACAGTCCTCCATGAACTGCTTC